TCTTTGGAATGGGTACAAATATGGATCTCTTCCAGTCAGTTGGCCAGGTAGCTGTCTTCCAAATCTCTTGGCATAACTGAGTGAGTGCCTCCAATGGGACATCCGTTTGTTGAAATATCTCAATCGGTATTCTGTCAATTCCTGGAGCCTTGTTCTTTGCCAATTGCAGCTTTGACTTCCTCCTTCAGTACCATTGGTTCTAGATCATATGACCCCTTTAAATATGTTTGTAACCATCTGAAGTAATGAAGGAAGAGGGACCAAGGCACAAGAATCTGCCTGTATCCCCAAAACTGACTTTGGAAGGAGGGGCTTTTGACCCACCAATGGAAGCTTTGTTCTGTGCAGCTGGTTACTCTTCATGTGTGTGTGTGTGTGTGTGTGTGTGTGTGTGTTTACAGTGATTTGGGTGAAAGTTTACAGAGCAAATTCATTTTCCATACAACAGCTCATAGACATTTTGTTTTATAACATTGATTGCAATCTCCACAATATAACATCTCTGTTCCTACTTCCTCCCTATGGTTACCTTTTTCCTGTGTCCTTTCCTATGCATTCCTGCCATCTGAGCTATCTCCCTGTGCAGATACTGCCCTTCTCATCTCCCATGGTTGATTGTTCTAAGGAATATACCCACCTGGTGTAAATGTTCACCTATGTACTTGTCTATCATTTGGCTGGAAGCCACAGGAGTGAGTTAATTCTAGGCCCAAAGGGTGACTAGGGGCCGTAGTCTCAGGGGTTTCACCAGTCTTTATCAGATCAGTAAGCCTTTTTTTTTTTTTAATTTTATGATTTAGAGTTTTGTTCATTTTTCTTCTACTCTATCCAGGGTCTCCTATTTTGATCACTTTCAGAGTGGTTGTCAGTTGATAGCTGGGCAGCATCTAGTTCTTCTGTTCCCAGGGTCATGTAGGCTGAAGTTCTCATGGTCCAGTAGTCCCTTGGACTAATTGTTTCCATATGTCTTTGGTTTTCTTCATTCTTCTTTGCTCCAGATGAGGAGAGACTAATTGTTGCATCTTAAAAGCTGCTTGCAAGCTTTTAAGACCCCAGATGCTGCTTACCAAAGTAGGATGTACAACAATGTTTCTGTGTTGTATGTTATGCAAATTGAGCTTGATGCCCCCATGACCATGGTCCCACTCCCATTGGCACAGTGACTCATTCTCTCAGGGTATTTTGCTGTAGCCAAGACATTATCATAACTTTGCCCTGTTAGCTCTATTGTATATATGGACATTCTTACAGCACATACAAATAAGTATGTAGAAATATTGTCTGCAAAACTTAGATATGGTCATGGAGATATTCCCTTTTGCCTACCCATACCTGATCATTTAGCCTGTCTACCTATGTTTTCACCTGTAGATTGTTTGTTATTACTGATAATGCAATATTGTATGTGTAAAATGTTTATCTTTGTTGTCTGTACCTCTTGTATACCTCCTGTATCTTCCTTTTCCTCAGTGTTTTTTGGTTGGCCACTTGCTTTTGGTATATTGCGTTTCTCTTCACCCAAATCAATGCTTGTCTCTTACCTTTGCTAGACAAATTTTCCCCGCCCTCCCCTCCCATCCTTAGTAACCAACAAATGAATTTTCCTTCCAGATGTAAACCTTTCCCTGAGTTTTTACAATAGTGAACTAATACAATATTTGTCCTTCTGTGATTGACATATTTCACTCAGCATAATGTCCTCCAAATTCATTCACGTTATGAGGTGTTTCATGGATTCTAGATTATTCTTTAGTGTTGTTTAGTATTGCATTGTGTGTATGTACCATAGTTTGGCTATTCATTCCTCCACTGACGGGCAACTTAGGTTGTTTCCCTGTCTTTGCTATTGTGAATAGTGCTGCAAAGGAACATGGGTGTGCATATATCTATTCATGTCCTGGCTGTCACTTTTTTGGAATATATACCTAGTAATGAGATTGCTGGATCAAATGCTATTTCTATTTCCAGCTTTTTAAGAAATCACCATACTAATTTCTACAGTGGTTGTACCATTTTACAGTTCCACCAGCAGTACATATATGCCAGTCCCAATCTCTCCACATCCTCACCAGCATTTGTTATTTTTTGTCTTATTGAACTTTTCTGTTTGCTGGGGTGAGATGGTATCTCATGGCTGTTTTGATTTGCATCTCTCTAATGGCTAATGAGGAGCTCTCGTGGTGTAGTGCCTAAGGCATTTGACTACTAACCAGAAGGCTAGCGGTTCAAGACCACTGGCACTCCTTGGAAGGAAGGTTGGGCAATTTACTTCCTTAGTGATACCACCTCAGAAACCCAAGGAGGGGTCACTATGAGTCAGATCTGACTCGATGGCAGTGAGTTTGGTTTGGTTTTGGTTAATAGCTAATGATCATGAGCATTTCTTCATGTGTTTGTTGGCCAACTGAATCTCTTCTTTGGTGAAGGGTCCACATGTTCTGTCCATTTTAAAACTGTACTGTTTGTGTTTTTGATGTTAAAGTGTTGGAGTTTTTTATAAATCTTAGAGATAAGTCCCTTGTCAGATACGTCATTGCTGAATATTTTTTCCCAATCTGTAGGTTCTATTTTTACTCTTTTGGAGAAGTTTTTTTTGATGCACTTTTTACGAGGTCCTAATCATCCAGTTTTTCTTCTGCTGTTTGTGCATATTTAGTTATATTTGGTAGTATATTAATGCCATATATTAGAACCTCTAAGTTTGCTCTAAGTTTTCCTTTGATGAAATTTATCATTTTAGGTTTTAAGTCTTTGAACCATCTGAAGTTAGTTTGTGTGTATGGTGTGAGGTATGGATTTTGTTTCATTTTTCTGAAAATAGATATCCAGTTCTCTCAGCATCAGTTGTTAAAGAGATTATCTCTTCCCCATTTAGTGGATTTCAGACCTTTGTCAAAGATCATAGATGGATAGTTCCATTCCACTGTTCTGTGTGTCTGTCACTGTAAAAATACCAGACTATTTTGTCTACTGTGGCTGTATAGTAGGTTTTGAGATCAGGGAGTATGAGGCCTCCTACTTTGTTTTTCCTCTTCAGTAATGTTTTGTTTATCTAAGCTCTCTTTCCTTTCCACATAAAATTAGTGATGGGCTTTTCCATGTCCTTAAATAATGTTGGTAGAATCTGGATTAGGATTGCATTCAATGCATAGATGGCTTTGTGTAGTATTCACATTTTCACAATGTTCAGTATTCCTATCCATGAGCATGATATATTCTTCCATTTAAGTAGATCTCCTATAGTTTCTTAAAGTAGGGCTTTGTAGTTTTCTTTTTCTAGGTCTTTTGTGTCCCTGGTAAGATTTATTCCCAAGTATTTTATCTTTTTTTGGTAGATATAGTAAATGGTATTGATTTCTTTATTTAATTTTCAGAAATCTCTTTGCTGATGTAGAGAAATGCAACTGATTTTGGTATGTTGATCCTGTATCCTGACACGATGTTGAATCTGAAAGATTCAATTAGTTCCAGTAGTTTGCTTTCTGAGTCTCTTGGGTTTTCTATGCATAAAATCATATTATCTGTAAACAGGGATAGTTTTAGTTCTTCCTTACCAATTTGGATGCCTTTTATTTTCCTTTCTTGCCATAGCTGTTTACTCTTGTTGCGAGGATGAGGCATCAGGCTAGCACAGCTCCTGGCATTGTCCGTTGGATGCTTCACTTTCCTGTATTCTAATTCTTGGGCCATCACACCTCAGGAACTCCCTGAAGTTATGGACCCCATTGACAAGGAGCACGTCAGCCCTGTCTTAGCCTTGAGTTTCATTTGAGTTAGTCCCTGGGAACTCGATCAACTTGAGGGGCAGGGATACAGTCAGCTTAAGGCAAGATCTTGGATCAAGTTGGGCCTTTCCTGTAATGCCAATAATGAGGTTGTGAGTGGGCAGTGAGTGACTTGAACCCTGCCTTTGACTGGCAAACACTTGTTCCACTGACCCAGCCACTCTCCACCCCTCACTCTCATGTCCTTTTACTTATGAGGAATGGGACTGGGGCTAGGATGAAGGATCAGTCATAGTCACAATGATTTTTTCTCTACAACGCTGAGGAGGAAACTCTGACTAGTGCTAGCCCACAGGGAAGAGAAATGATGAGTTTGTAACTTTGGAGCAGATGTTGGTGTTTGTGTGTGGTGTTGCTGGGTGTGGCAGAGATTGAGATGATAAGACTGAGGAGAGGAGGAGGGGCTGATGGAAAAGGAAGAGGATAGGGGCCCTGGGCAGACAGGCGCCTTGGAGCCCCTGAGAGGAGGGGCCCCTGAGGCCAGTTTTCACAGAGTCAGCAGGGGGAGGGAGTTGAGCTTCAAGAGTGGTCAGGATTTATGTCAGGGGCATATAAGTCTGGTATACCTCAGCTTTGCTCCCATTGCTGTTGGCCCACATGACACCCATTTGAAGGGCAGGTGGCTGGGAGCAGCACTGAAAGATGAAGGAAGGAGAGATGAATGATGACAGAGTCTTTTTCTGCACAGACAACCAGTGTGTCTCCCTGCATCCCAGAGGTGAGGAAAAATGGGGACTAGAGTGCTTGTGCCCAGCCCTCTACCATCCCTTTGAACTCTTCCCTGGAAGGCCTGAGCTCTGCTCATAGCTCTCCCAGCCTCTAGATCAAACAGGTAAAGGCAAAGGTGGGTCAGACTGCGGATGAGGACCCTCAGTCCTCACAGGAAATCTCCTTGAACTCTACTCCATCCCCTCAGTTGGGAATGGCAACCTGGCAAGAGAAAGGGATGAATTCAGATGGACCTGGCTTTGAATTCCAGCTCTGTACAATGGGTTGGCCTGGGAGGCTTCTGGGCTGACACCTTGCTGTCATAGAGGGGATTTCTCTGTCATTGTCCCAGAACTTTCAGGCACAACACTTCTCAGAATGCCGGTGGGGTGAATTCTGACCCTGAGAGAGGGAAGCCTTTGAGAGAAAAGCACTTTTTCACATTCCAGGGATCTCACATCAGCTGGTGGAGGAAGCAGCAGCCACAAAAGGCTGTGAGTCTTGCTCCGATCAGGATGCATGAATGAGACTGACCCTGGATTCCTGGGTCAGGGCTCCTGACCCTCTTTTCTCTCTCCCTGCATCCCTCCCTCCTTCCCTTCTGCCTCCTTCCCCTCAAACCAAACTTATACTCCCCCTTTTGAAAAGTTCTGTGTCTTGTGCACCACTGACCCTTCCTCCACTTTCTGAGAGCTATGATCTTGGTTCTACCACTTGGCTTTGTGTGGCTACAATATCCCATAGTTAGTCCTAATGAGCATTTTAAGGTGCCTACTTTTGCTTTTCCATAACTATCCTGTATGCTAAGCATGGCAGGTGTCCCAGGTGATACAGCACACTCTCATCCCCTGCAGGCATGGACTCTGAGGCAAAGGCTCCTGCAGCCCGCAAGGCGTCATGGCTTGCCCTGGTTGCCCTGGTGTTTACAGCTGTGACCTTGGTCTCCTGCCTTGTGGCTCTCTTTGCTATGGGTAAGCTCCTAGGTGACTCAAATGCCACCAACTCTCCTTTCTTCCTTCTTCGTTAATGCCCCAAAATGACTCACAGTGCCACTCCACTCCCAGCCCCAGGCTCAGTCCAGACCTTCCCTGGGGCCAAACTGAGGTCACGCTGTCCAAGGGGCAACTTCCTCAGAACTGAAACCTCATGCAGGAGTGCTAATTCCTCTTTCTGGAACCCGAACTGGGGATGGGACAGCCTGTTTCCCTAGGTCCAGGACTGAGAGTTTGTGCTGACCAGGAATGGGGTATTTTAGCTCTACAGCACCCAAGACCTGCAGATCCCTCATTTGCCAAATTTCAGAACATGGGTCTGGGAGACAACACCACTGAACAGCTGCCTGTGGACTTAGATGGTGAGTAGCTGTGGTGGGGTGGAGGGGGCAGGAGGAAGCTGGGGCATTGAGATGCTCAAACCTCAGGAGAAACCTTTTCCCACAACCCTCAGGCTTCTAAATCTAAATGGGTTCCACTCTCCTCAGAATCTCCCCTCCCCCCCCACTTTTTTCTTTAAAGAAAAACAGCTCTATTGAAATATAATTGACACATAATAAAAAGCACATACTTAAATTGTACAATTTGATAAGTTTTGACACATGTGTGCACTGTGAAACTCTCACCACAATGAAGATAATGAAAATATTCATCATCCTTCTCTCCACGAAGCTAACCGTGATGCTTTATAATCCACCTTTTCCCTTCATTGCCTCATCCACAGGTAACCATTGATCTACTTTCTGTCACTATAGATTAGTTTGCACTTTCTATAGTTTTATGTGAAAGGACATACAGAGCAGTTACTCTTTTCCTGTCTGGCTTCTTTCATTCAGTAAAATTGCTTTGAGAGTCATCCATGTTGTATCAGTAGTCCATTGCTTTTTCTTGCTGAGTGGTATAGAGTGGCTATGACTTGGAATTGACTCTATGGCAATGGGTTTGTGATTTTGGATTTTTACTGTTCCATTGTATGAGGAGCCCTGGTGGTACAGTGGTTAGCATTTGGATGCTAATTGAAAGGTTGGTGTTTCAAACCCACCAGCTGCTCCATGGGAGAAAGACATGGCAGTCTGCTTCTGTGAACATTACAGTCTTGGAAACCTTGGGACAATTCTACTAGGGTTGCTATGATTTGGAATTGACTCGATGCACTGGGTTTGTTTTTCATTCCATTGTATGGATGCATCACAATTTGTTTATCCATTCATCTGTTGAACATTTTGGTTGTGACCAGTTTTTAGCTATTACAAATAAGGCTTCTATGAACATTCATGTGCAGGTCCTTTTATGTACTTTCTTTTCTTATGGATAAATACTTTGGAGTAGAATGGCTAGATCATATGGTAGATGTATATTTAATTTTTTGAGAAACTGTCAAATTCCAAAGTAATGGTACAATTTACACTCTTACTGGTGGTGTATGAGTTCCAGTAAGTACTTCCACATCTTTGCCAACACTTGGCTTGTTCATTTAAAACAAAACAATGCTGACACATTCCAATAGGTATATAGTAGTATCTCATTGTGAGTTTCATTTGCAGTTATTTAAGAATGCTGAACATTTTTTTCATGTGTTTATTAGCCATCCATAAATCTTTTTTGGTGATGTGTCTGTTGAAATATCTTGCTCATATTTTATTGGGTTGTTTGTTTTTTTAATTCAATTCTCATTATTAAATTTTGAGTTTTTAATATCTGGATACAAGTCATTTGTCAGACATGTTATTTGCAAATATTTTCTCAGTCTGTGGCTTGCCTTTTTACTCTTGATGAGATTTAAATTTTGATAAAGTGCAATTTACCAATCTATTTCTTTTATAGATTATGCATATGCTGTTGTATCTGAGAAATCTTTGCCTAACCCAAAGTTGCAAAGCCTTTCTTTTATATTTTCTTTTAGAAATTTATAGGAGCTCTGGTGGCATAGTGCCTAAGGCATTTGACTGCTAACCAGAAGGCTGGCGGTTCAAACCCACCAGCCACTCTTCGGAAGGAAGATGGGGCAATCTACTTCCATAGCGACACTGCCTGAGGCCTTACATAGTCATTTAGTCAGGGCTTGAGGAATAGAGCAGGGGTCCTCCAGAAAGGGTCCCTAATCCCTTGTGTTGTTATCTATATTCTTGAGGGAAGACTGGAATCGGGAGGTGACCATGAATATCTCAGATTACTGCTAACTCAAGAGGTGATAGCAGGACCAAGGGCAGCTGCAGATGGAGTTGGTAGGAAAAACTGCAAATGAAAGGGACTGCAGTTATCTTGAATGACCCTGGTGACCAAAGCATTTCACTCGGTGCTCCTATATCCCCAAACTGCTCTGTAGGAACACTTGCCCTATATAATATGCCTGGAGGACAGTCCTTTAAAAGGCTATTTCAGCTTAGCAGTACAGTGTCTCCTGGAGGGTATGATGGACCTCCATCCTGGCCCTGTGGATTGAATAGGGTGCTTCTGCCAGGGGAATTTTGAGTTTTTATTTCATTTCTTCCCCCCCCCCCATGGAATTTGTGATCAGAAAATTCATATGATTATGGTCTACATGGTTTTTAGGAAGTAACAATGATGAATCAAGAGGGTCCATGCTTGGTGTACAAATACAGTGCAGGCCTAAATATGGGTTTTATTCATATTTATTTCTTTCTCATAATAATCCTCTAATAGTGAAATTTCAGTGGAATTAAACTACAAGCTCTAAATTATATAACTAGTTATTTTCCAGTTCAATTACAAAGGAAAAATGTTCCAAACCTTACCAGTATGACTCTGGGTGGTTGGCTAGTTTGTAGTAAACAAATATTTCAGCCCTTTGGATTCCTTGGTCCACGTGTGATAGCTAATTAGGTTTCTCTCCCTCTCTCTCTCTTTTTCTGGCCCACACTCTGAGGTGGCCCATCTCCAGGACCAAGACACCCATAGTGACAAACAGGCCACTGGAGGAGCATTCAGGGCTGTAGAGTAGATATTTCCCCTTGGAAATCTTGAGAACACTGTGATTGGCTGATGCAGTTTCCTATCTAATGGGCCTCTGTGGCTGACTTGTCCATTTCCTCCCCTTCAGGTCCCTACCATTTTTTCAGGGTGTCAGAGATGCAAGAGGCTATCCAGATGTTGAAAGACCATGTGGAGAACTCCAGCACCTGGAGTGTGGAGATCCAGGTGTTGAAGTGTAGTGTGGACAATGTCAGTTCTCAGATCCAGATGCTCAGTGGTCACCTAGAAAACACCAGTGCTGACATCCAGATGGTAAAAGGAGAGCTAACGGATGCCAAAACCTTGAGTATCCAGACCCAGATGTTAAGGAGTTCTTTGGAGGGGGCCAATGCTGAGATCCACAGGCTCAAGGGAGATCTGGAAAAGACACATGCTCTAAACTCCCAGACCCAGAGTTTCTTAAAAAACAGTTCAGAAAGTACCAGTATTGAGCTCCATACACTAAGCAGAGGTTTAGAAAATGCCAGCACTGACATTCAGATATTAAAGGCAGGCTTGGCAACAGCAAACGCCCAGACCCTGTTGGTGAACAGTAGTTTAGAGAACACTAATGCTCAGATCTTCCTTTTGAGAGACAATCTGAACAGTGTCAACATTTTAAGGACCCAGAGCCAGGCTTTAAGAAATAGTTTGGAAGGGGCCACTTCTGAAATCCAAAAGCTTAAGGGAGGTCTGCAAAACACAGATGCTGCAAATTCCCAGATGCAGACCTTTGTAAGAGTCAGCTTAGAGAAGACTAGTGCTGAGATCCAGTTATTAATAGGTCAATTGGAAAAGGCAAGTGATGAGATTCATTCATTAAGAAAAGATTTGGAAAAGGCCAAGGCTGAGAGCCAAATGACAAACAGCAGTCTGGAACAGACAAATGCTCAGGTTCAAGTATTAAAAACAGAGCTGACAGTCACCAATGCTTTAAATTCTCAGATTCAGGTATTAAATGGTCACTTGAAAAATGCCAGCAGAGAGATACAGACCCTAAAACAAGGAATGAGGGATGCTGCAGCCTTAAAGGCCCGAACCCAGACCTTAGGAAGTAGCTTGCAGAAGGTCAACGCTGAGATCCAGAGGCTAAAACGTGATTTAGAGAACACCAAAACGCTCACTGCTAAAATCCAGGAGGAACAGGGCCGCCTGGAGACTCTCTACACGACCTTCGCTTCACAGGAACAGCTGCAAAGGACCCAGAGTAAGTGGTGGACAAGGGCTGGGCCAGGGAAGGTAGCATCTCGAGGACTCTCCTGGCCCTTCAGCGTCTATCTCAGCATGTGACCTCTCTGGGAAGGAGTGTGGGTGGTGGAGGGAGGCCCAAATCCAGTCAAATGGGTTTCCATGTGCCTGGGAAGTGGTGGAGGTGGTATAAGTTCTCACAGTGCTTATAATTTCTCCCCAATACCTTTTTTGTTTGGAAAACAGACAGACAACCTGTTTCTGACTTCTCACTATCATAAGTGATGTAATCTTGAGCAAATTGCTCACCTTCTCTGAGCTTTATTGATTTCATCTGAAAAATGGGGACAATAATATTTGCTTCACAGGGGATTAGTACATGTAAAACATTTAACACAGTGCTCAGAATTCATGCAGTCACCTGGTAAAACTTTTTGGAGCATCAACTTGTGTCAGAAGTATAAAGAAGAGTAAGACATGATATCTGCTGGTAAGAAGCTTATGGGTTAGTAGATGGAGATGTACCTGTCAGCAAAGACGTGAGGAGATGTGCAAGAGGTGTTTAGTTAGAAGCAGGTACTGGGAACTAAGGGTGGGGAAGGAACAAAAAGAAAGAGGAGAAACTGGTCTTCTAGGGGGAGGGATCTTCTAGAGAAGAGGAAATCTTCTTGGGAAGAAGGGAACTTCTGGAAGAGAAGGGAGTTCTTTGAGGGATCTTCTGGGGGCTGAGATCTTCTGAGGGAAGAGATAATCTGGAGGGAAGGGACTGGGGAGGGTACCCAAGCAAATAGGGTAAGAGAGTAGCAGGTTCACGGTCACGGGGCATGACATGGTGACATTCAGGGAACTGCTAGCAGGTCCTTTTGTCTGAGCTGCAGGTCAGAGAATCGCTAGATGAGGCACAAAGCTGAAAAGACAGTAGACAGGGGCCAGAGTAGTGGCCTTCAGACTGTTTTGAATGTGACCACAGCATAAAATTCATTTTACACTAGGACTCGGTATAATTATGTATCTGTCTTTATGCACAAGTCCTTCAAAGCAAAACTTGTACCACATAAACTCACTCTGCTAGTCTGTATTCTGTTTTTAAAAACAAAAGCTTGTCACAACCCACTAAACTAATGGATCAGTGATTGCAGTTTGAAAAATACTGGGCTGGAAAAGTAGGCAGGTCTAGAGGGACACAGGCTGGACCTGAAAGTGCTCTGAGGCTATGAGATGAGCTTGGGTTTCATCCTTCAGGAAATGAGGAGCCACTGAAGGGTTTTAAGGAAGACCTTGAAGTTCTGACTCAGGTGGATGAATGAATGTGTCCCCAATTGAGAGAAGGCATAAAGATGGAAGAGGAGTAGCAAGATTTGGACATGCTGAGTCTGAAGCTCTTTGGAAGTACTCAAGTGGCAGGCTGTCTGGAGTTCAGGAGGTAGGCTGTGGCTGTGGGCTTAGATCTAGGAGTCCTGGATGTGTTGGTTCTGGTTGCAGCATTGGGAGTGCAGGAGTTTGCATGAGACAAAATGTACCCTGAGAAGAGGCCTTGTGCAGTGTTTGATTACCTAAAAAGTAAGGTAAGCATGGGATTACTTGTGCTTACTTACTTTGCAGTAGTGAACAGTTTTACATTTTTTTTCACTATATCAAAGATTCTGTTTCTGGTATGGCTGGCATTTGTCTCCAAACCCCATGGTACCTTTCTATAAAATCAAAGCCTCTTTTCAAAGTTATAATCCATCCCTGACAGGGATGGATTACCCATAAGCAAGGTAAACACAGGTTTATTTGTGCTTACTTTCTAATCTTTAGTGAACAGTTTCTTTGATGTGGTGAAAAGCATATGAAGGTGTTCACTACAGAGTAGTAAGTAAGCACAAGTAAGCCCACACTTACCTTGCTTGTTGAGTAATCTGCACCTGGGTCTGAGGATAGAAACAGGAAGTTCAGGAGGCCAGAAGGGAAAGGGGTGTTTTCAAAAGAGACTGGAGAAACATTTTAGAGGCAGAAGAACTGGGAGATGAGCAATTGGGGAAGTCAAGGAAAGAGAGAATTTCAAAAAGGAAAGGCTTGGTTCTGGCCCAGGTCAAAGAGAGGCCAAGTGAAATAAAAACTGAAAGAGTCCACTGACTGGGCCATTAGTAAGTCATCTGAATGAAGTCTCAATGGAGAGTGGCATGAAGGTCAGACCACAGTCATATGGGGGTGAACTGAAGATCAGGACCACAAGTTTTTCAGGGATGCTGCCTGAGAAGGGAAGGATAGAGATGAGGATGAGGTGTGGGAACGTGGACATGGTTGAGGGAGATATTAAAAAAAAACACGTATCATCTTTTTTTTTTTTTCTTTTATTGTGGTGAAAACACACACAACAAGACATTTGCCAACATAACAACTTCCCCATTTACATCTCAGGAACATTGATGACATTTTTCATGTTGTGCCACCATTATTGCTATCCTTTTCCAAAATATTCCACTACCATTAGCATAAACTCAATGC